GTTTCAGCCGACAAGAAAGCAGCAGCCGAATTCAAGTCACGCCTCATCTCACCACCACGAAGTCGATCAGTGACTGTTGAACCGAAGCCACCGCCCGGACATGACGGCCACGAGGATAGCAGATCACCGGACGAGATTGCAGTTGATAGTGCGCTAGAGGAAGGTTTGAGAGAGCTCCGAGAACATAACGTTGTAAGTTATCTGGCTCTAAAGTAATAATACTAATAACAAATTGATAGTTGATGGGTAGTAATAATGCAGTAAAATGTGTGCATAATTGGTGGTTGGTATTTGCAAAAAAACCGGAATTCGTCAGGTGATGATGGTTGTCTTGTTGAAGTGAACGTAGTGATAATATTCCTGATAAAACAATAATGATGACAACACTCATGCAATCTTCATGAACATTTTCAGCGAGGTACTGACAGCACAGTTGGAAGTCCGAATCAAAGTTCCGTGGAAGGACACGAGAGTCCATCGGCGCAAGAAGTGCCTGCCGAAGTAACGTTGCCCCCGTCACCGGTTGAGAAATGCTCTAGAGAACTTGAGGTTTTAGTTTTTGTATGAGCATCTTGAACCTATATCAGCCCGGATTGCTTTTATTCATAAATATTGAAATATGATTAGGTTCATGTCACTTGTGATGAGAAAAACTACGAGCGATAGTAAAAACGTCGAAACTAATTCACATTGGCGTTAACGATATGATTTTGCTTTTTTTGTATATATAGTACGACCATGAACAATGTGTTCAAATCTGTAACACGGGTTAAATGTGGAGACTTGAGCGAGTTATCTGTGATGTCTATCAAATTCTATGACCAACTAAAAGACTATGCTGAGTTGACCACAAACAAATTATCGGAACTCATTCAAACGCTTACATAGGGTCATATTTCTGATCTCAATTGCTGGGTATTACCAACAGCTTACCATTTTAATGTCGTATCATTTAGAATTTTATCCCATTTTTGTTATTTTTTAGTTGCAATTCGAAAAATATTTTGCACGGAAGGCGAACGGTATGGATTTGAATTTATCGATCCAGTTGAGACAAGACTTCAAGAATCCATCAATTTATGAGCGATTAATTGAAGCCTTTGAAGTGGACGAATTAGGATCGAATTTCGATCCATCCGTGTTCAATCCGCATGGTTTCACCGAAGATTGTTTCTATGATAATATTTGTTAGTTTCAGTGAGATTTGTTTTATTGCGTATCGTTTGAAGTTTTAATTGATCATGTAAGAATTCGTTATAAGTGATAACAAATTTTTTTGGTAAGAAATATGTGGTATGTAAGAAGATTCATTTGATAATTGTATTAAAATGGTAACTTCTGTTCATTTTACAGCCGTAATGCAAAAAGAAGTAATGGAAAAGTATATGGCAAATGCAGAAAAGAAATCAGCGGCGAGTGGTGGTGCGAACGCTGCAGTGGATTCATCAAAGGGATCGGATGTGAAAAGGAAATCCAGATTTGAGGGGAACAAGAAGCATTGATCTCGTTTAGTTAACACTGTTCATCAGTTTTCTTGAAACCTATTCATGATTTCATTGTGTCAATTGATTTTATCTCATGATTGTATTCGAATTCCAGTAATCTATTTCGTCTTTCGATGAATTGATATATTTGAAATTATTTAACGTATTTTATTTGATTCATCTACTTCGTTGATTTTTTATATCTCTCACCCGTGAATTGTTCATTTTCTTAAATTGCTGTTGTTGTTATTGGTGTTAACCGTTTGATTTTGTTCCTTCATAAGATCCTGTTCATTTAAGTTGTTGTATTGATTACATTGTTTGCATACATTCGCAATAGGAAATTCATCGATTTTAAGTCTCATCGTCAGTATTCATATTTCTCAAGTGTTTACATATAATGAATTGTTTAATGCTTCCATTTTCTGAATTGAGCGTTTGTTATGTTAATTTGGCAACAGTTCTTGTGTTTTTTTTTTGGAAGTATGAACTGAAATTGGAGAAGATGAGAAAATGTTCCATAAACGAGTAAATAATAAATTCATTCATCTGTATTCAAACATTGTTCTTGCACATTTTCCCTATTTTATCATTCATTTGATCAGTGAGTTGGCTCAGCATCCGCTTCGAGTCACTTCGAGTTTCCTTTTTCATATTGTCATCGCTCGAGTATCGCAAGTTTTTGCGTTGTAGAATATAAGAAGCCATTGTAGAATCAAGGAATTTCACTGGATTTTTATGAAAATCAAATGGAGCTAATGGAAATCAGCTGCTGCATGATACAATAAATTTCTCTTCACCTTTTAATGAGTACAAATCGCAAACATGCACCAGAATTTGAAAAAAAACTTTAAAATATTTTTCACTGATAATGTTAAAGAGTTACAAGTGATTTGCTCACTGTGTGCACACAGCTTTCGGAGTGATTTTGTCGGAGTTGAATTCAAGTTTCTTCGTGTTTTCAATTCAACTGGTTCATTTCAATCGCAGCATTTTAGTGGGTCTGGATGTGCAGTCAGCATCTGCGCATCGTAAGGCAAGGAAGGACACATTTGTGAGAAACTGTGATGAATTGTTTCGGTAGAAGTGTTTTGTGCATTCCGCTTGCACGAAGCGGAATACCCTGCATTCGTTGTGCTCACTGTCGATCACCGCAACTTTCGTCTGCAAGACATCATTCACATTCAGCCGACCAAAGGTAGGATCTGCTGAGGAGTGCTCGCAAAATTTCGCATCCGTTTCGGATTTTTCGAACGGTGTTGGAGTAATTTTCGAGAATTCAGTCTGGAATTCAGAGTGAATTTATCAAAAGTGTTGATAAATTCGAAAGAAAAGTGGCAGATCTATAGATCACTATAGATCAATTGTAAACATTAATATAGCACTATAGGCGTTACGATCTTCAAAGTACCGGTACCCTCAATTTTTACCGGTAACATATGAATTTCTTTGCAGCATTCGATTGCTCATAATCTCTACTTTCAGAAAAACATATATTTAGCTGAGCGATTTTGCTTTCTTGAGGAGATATAGTTATTTTCTCAATGATATACGGTTTGCCATCTTCGAGCATACGGTATCCTCAAGTTTGCACAGTAACATATGTATATTTGTACACCAAGCGATCCAGCGGAATCTCTTGATTCGGAAGAACATTTTGCCGAGCGATTGTTGGCTGTCTCATAATGACTACTTGCTTTAACAAGTATTCGAAAGTAGATTCAATAGAACCGTCTTGAAAAGCATTTGAGACTCGAGATTACTTGATCAAACGCACGTTGTAGTGTGTAGTTCTTACCGATCACAAATCTTACCGAATGTTCGGTTGATGTTGCGGTTGCTAGTTGCAAGTCAGTTGTAAATTTCGATTTCAGTACATCAGCGGCCAATGAGTATTTGGTTCGTGCTGCGACAACACCGCAAATACCTTCCACCCTCAAACAACTAGTATCAGTTCTTATCGATGGTACCATTCTGCATGAACCGGGTCAGCACCACTCGCATTCTAACACCGTTTCATCGTTTTAATCATTCATTTATTTACTTATATTCATATGAATATCATATTCATGCACATATATCAGTACTCAAATTCATCTATAGATCACTGTAGATCAATTGTGATTTGTTAATTGAAGTGATCTATAATCATATTCATGCGCGCTTATCAAATCACAATGGCGTTTAAACGTAACTGGACGACTCATAATTTAATCATAACGATAAGAAAAGAGTACATTATGCATTGGAGGAGTGTTGGTGCACGTACGATATTGACGAATGCGAAATATTTTTGTTCGACCACAAAGAGAGGTCAAATTGAATTTAGGACGATTCGTCATATTGAACAAACCGTTTGGCGTTTCTTGTGTTGGTTATAAGCAGAAAAATGGAGGTGTTTTCGGCGAATCACGTTTTGATCGAAGGCATCCGAATGACGATGAAGAGAATGACGATGAGAATGTCAATGAGGTATATCTGGAGAAGAAACTCCGCAATGAATATTTTGTTCGCAGTCATACATATACACATAATTAGATGCGAGCCAGTTGACCATCTCATTGTCAGAATGATGCTCCATAGCATTATTGTGGTGTTTGGAATTTCACGGGAGGAAAATTTTTTGGGATTTTTGCTCTCGCGGAACTAAACTGTTGCATTTTTCGATGCATCACAGTAGAACACAGTTTTCAGCTCATTATCCAGCATAACTGGACAAGAGGGGTGGTGATCGTCAAGTAAATATGTTTTCATTATCTAGTCTCACATAAGAAAACGAACACCATAATTCAGGATGCGCCTTCGTTCCCAACCATTGAGATGGCTTTACCGTTTTTGGCCGAACGATTCGGTGAACCGAATTTATCGTTTTGCACTGGATTGAAGAGGTTTTCGCCATCAATTTTGATTCTTTTCTTACGAATTTGATCGCTTGATTTCAACAATTCAGAGATTATTATTCACCATATGCGTATATCGCATATGATTTTAAAAAGGAAAACATGAAACTAGGCGTTTGCCTAAAACGTGTTCAGTTATACTCATAGCTTTCCGCTTGCCTTTGAGTGGAATTCATAAGAAATCTTCGTCCAGACCACATTTGTAGAACATAGCTTCAAGCTGAAACACCTAACGAGTGGTATTCTCGCTTCGTTGA